TTGACATAATGAAAAATCAGAAATGGAGAATTTGCAGGTAACAGGTTTGGTGAAAGACCAAATGTGTTTCCCCTAAGATCAAAAACAAGATAAGGATGTTTGTTTTTGTACTTTCTAGTAAACATTTTACTGGAAGTTGTGGTTGGAGAATGATGTAAGAAAAAGAACTGAAAGACATCCAGGAGTATAAGGAGTTAAATTATCTCTATTCACAGATAACATGATCTTAAATGTAGAAAGTCATAAAGCATCAAGAAAAAAACTACTAGAACTCAAAAAACAATTCAGAATCCAGGCACAGTGGTGTCTGTGACTGTAGTCCCAGCTAGTTGGAGATTAAAGTGGGAGGATCCCTTCAGCCCAAGAGTTTGAGATCAGCCTGGGCAACTTAGTGAACACCTATCTCAAAGGACAGAATTCAGAAAAGTATGAGGATAAAAGATCAACACACAGAAGTCAGTTGAATTTCTATACAATGGAATGAGCAATCCAAAAAGGAAATGAAGAAAATAATTTTATTTGCAGTAGCATTAAAAAGAATAAAATACCTAGGAATAAATTTAATAAATTATATACTGAAAACTATAAAACATTGCTGAAAAAAATTAAAGAAGATATAAAGAGAGGGATATCTGTGTTCATGAGTTGGAAGACTTAATATTGCTCAGATAGCAATACTTTCAAAAATGATCTACAGATTTAATGCAAATCCTATCAAAATCCCATTTTTTTTTGCACAAAAGGAAAACCAACTAAAGCTCAAAAGAATTTTAAAGAGACCATAAATAGCAAACACAATCTTGAAAAAGTATAACAAAATCAGAGGACTTAACACTTCTCAATACCAAGACTAACTGTAAAACTACAGTGAGCAAGGGAATATGGTACTGGTGCAGATAGATATATAGATCAATTGAATAGAACTGAAGGTCTAAAATAAACCTATACATCAGGGTCAATGATTTTCAACAAGGTGCCAAGATCATTCAATGGGAAAACACTCTTTTTAACAAATGGTGCTAGAACAACTGGATTTTCAGGTGCAAAAGAATGAATTCAGAGCTTTAACTCACACCAGATACAAAAGTTAACTCAAAATTAATCAAACCTAAATGTAACAACCCAAACTATAAAACTCTTAGAAGAAGCATTTGTAACAAGAGGAAAAATAAATTGTACTTAATGAAGATTAAAGCCTTGTTGCATCAAAGGACGTTATCAACAAGTTAAAAGACAATTCACTGAGTGGGAGAAAATATTTGCAAATCATATACCTGAGATGGATCTAGTATTTGGGCTAAATAAATAACTCTTATAAGTCAACAACAAAGGCCACTCAATTAAAAAAACAAAGAACTGGAATGTATATATTTTCAAAGAAGATATACAAAGGGCCAACAAGCACAAGAAAATATATCCTTAATCATTAGGGAAATGCAAATCAAAACCACAATGAGATACCACTTCACACCCACTTGGGTGGCAATACTAACAATAGCAGCAGCAGCAGCCGTGGAAAATAACAAATGTTGATAATGATACAGAGAAATTGGAACCTTTGCACATTGCTGGTGGGAATGTAAAATGATGAGGTCACTGTGCAAAATAGTTTAGCAGTTCCTTGATAAGTTAAACATAGAATTATCATCTGACCCAGCAATTCTACTCCTAGGTATGTATACCCCAAAGAATTGAAAACAGGCAAACCATAACTTGTACATAAATGTTCATAGCAGCATTAATCATGATAGCCCAAACAACTCAAATGTTTTTCAATATGTAGATAAGCAAAAGGTAGTATATAAATACAATAGAATAGGATTTGGCCATAAAAAGGAATGAAGTGCTAGCACACACAACCACTTGGGTAAATCTGGAAAACACTATTCTAAGTAGAAATCAGACACAAAGAGCATCCTATTTTATGATTCCATTTATATGAAATATCCAGAACAGATAAATGCATAGAGAAGGAAAGCAGTTTTGTAGTTGCCTGGGGTTGTGGAGAGAGAAGGATGGGGACAGACTGCTTAATGGGTATGAGGTTTTCATTTAATATGATGAAAAAGCTTAGGAATTATATGGTTGAACAAACATTGTGAATATACTAAGTGCCTCTTGATTAAGTGGTAAGCTTTGTTATTTGTATTTCACTACAGCAAAAAGAAAAAGGAAAAAAGAAGCATTATACCATATGATACATCCATTTTTATATTCCATGGACTGCATTCAACTTCTGGTTCCTTCACTTCTTGGTGGGAACACTGGGCACATCCTGTCTCTATCTCTTTTCTGAGCATTCTCTTTGAGGGATCTAGTGGGGTGGACCAGGCACCTACTTGGGAAGAGAAAGCTCCATCAGCCTTTAGGGACATAATACAATGGAACTTGAGGAACCAGCATTCTGAGGGTGGGATTTGGAATCAGATCTTGGGGCTGGAAGTTCAATCATCTATTCAAGCCTGTAAGTGTTCAGCCTCAGTTTCCTGTACAGTAAGTGTCTAGAGACATCAGGAAAAAAGGAAAACAAAGAGAACTGGTGAAGGACTGGTTCTTTTATATATATATACACACACACACACACACACATTTTTTAATATTTAGTTTTTAGTTATAGTTGGACACAATACCTTCGTTTTTAAAAATTTATTTATATGTGGGCTGAGGATCGAACTCAGGGCCTCAGACGTGCTAGGCAAATGCTCTACCACTGAGCCACAACCCCAGCCCAGGACTGGTTCTTTGTGTCCCTGTTTTTCTTCATTACCTGCTCCCAAGATTCTGGCCCTGACACCTGATTCAGGTTAGTATCAATTTTACACCTAAAAGCCAAGAAAACCTTCATGAAATTATCAATCCCTTGGAATTGCAGCTTCCTCATTTGTAAAATGGGAATAATAATATATTCACCATAGATTATGGAAAAGAAATAGTGAAGAGTTTATACTGTGCCTCATTCCACATTTGAGGCAGCAACATAAGTATATATGTTATGTATATATATGTTATGTATATATATGTATATAAGGAACACAGTACCGATAAATCTCCTAAATCTTTTCAGTTCTGTTCCATCTCTCTTTCACAGCCCTTCCTTGCATACCTTCCATCATGACCACATTCTTCCCCACCCGAGGTTTCAGGAAAAGGTCTGACAATCCCACCCTATTGGGAGAAGCCTGTGTGTTATGTGTATTACACCAAAAAAAAAAAAAATACACATCATACCATATGATGCAGCCTTTCATACTCAATGTTCTGGATTCGATTTGTAAGCACAGGGCCCCAAGACTGGCAAAGAAAAATGGGGTGACCAAGACCTCCCCAGGCTTCTAAAAGAGCAATTTTGCTCCAGTGTGAGGCTGGTTGGGTTTCTAAGTTTTCACTTTACTTCCACCCAGTTTGCACACGTGGCCATAGCAGTATGGTACCAGCTTGAAATTTTGCAAAAAGCATGAAAACACCCCCTACACCAACTCCCCGTCCCCGCCCCAAACCTGCTTCCTGGAAGACCTACATTCACATTTCCAGACTCTGCTGGCAGGGGCCCCAAGCACACATGCCTTCTTGTGGCTGTAATCACAGCGCACATCCCAGCTTCTAGTTCAAGCTTCCAAGTTGCAACATAGTCCTCGGAACTTTGCTTTCTAATACCATCAAGCCAAAACACGTAACTCACAGAGCCGCGCCCTTGCAGTGAGAGGTTTTCCCCTTCTTTCAAATTATTGCATCCGAGTAAATTCCCAGCAGTCAGATTCTTAAGCTAGAAAATATGAATATTTTTATGGTTTGGGATGCTTATTGCCAAATCATTTCCCCATGTGCTTATATATTTTGCCTATCAATAAGTGAATATATTTGTTTCACTACGGCATTACTGGCCTTGATTTTTATCCTTAACTTTTGGAAATTTTTGCAAATATTTTTACTCTTTTGTTTTTATAAATTAAAAACAATTGCTTGTCAAATATTCTTTTTTTTTTTTTTGATCTAAAGTAATTTTATTGTAACAGAGAAACCAAGCTGTAGTAAGTCTACATGATTAGAGCAGATGATGGTTATCGTTCCAAGAGTGAAGCCTAAGCCTGGCTGGCAGCACACAAACAAACCCCAGACTATCTCCTTTCTGATCCTAACCTGGGTTGCCAGACTCATGATGTGAGGTTAGTGGCTGCACAACCATAAAGAATGAAGGAAGAGGTCCAGCCGGCAGAGGCAGCACCCCAGGAGGAGACAATTACACAGTCACTGATGAGGATGCCGGCATAAAGTGCAGTCACCTACCCTCCACTATTCTTCGCCAAGAAAGAGGGTATGGCATGAGCAGAAAATTATGTTCTCCGTTCTTAAATAGACCCTGATACGATGGGTTCATGGTTAATCAAGCAATAGAATGGGATGGAAATCTAGGCTAGTTATAGATCTTTGTGTTAAAGAAAAGAACAGCAATGGTAAGAAGAGACAGACATTTTCCTTATTTTCTTAAATAAGACAGGAAACAACATCTATTATTTTCCTTGCTGCAGTGGCAACAGACTCATTGGTTTTTGTAAAGCACAATTTGTGCAATATGGTCTGTTGATAGGATGCTCCACCATGGGGGGACAAATGTGAAGTGGACTGTTAATGACACAACTCAGCCTATAGCATGAGCTATGTCTCAAGCTGGATCTGCAGAGGAATCCCTTCCACCACACAGTGCTTCATTAAATCTTCTGAAATATTGCAACATCATGACCAGTTTTTGGTGCTGTGACTTTCTTATACATGTAAACTCTTTCAAAAAAGTTGGAGATAAAAGGATGATGGGGGAGTTTGGTTTAAAGCCACAGAGTTCCAGACACCAGCCATGGATGCCTCTGCCCTATCTTACTACATGTTGTTTTCTGAGAAACACATCCAATCACTAAGTGTTATGCACTGTGGTTGAAAGAAATGACCCTCTCCACCATCCACCCTCCCTCATCCTGCATGTGGATGTGGCTGACGACAGAAAGGTTGTCTCTGTTCTCGCACCAGGAAATTACTTGGTGACCTGGTGGATGGCATGGGCAAGGTAGGCCACGTTGTTGGAGGTGACCCCTGCCACAGAGATGCGGCCATCCTTTGTCATGTAGATGGAGAACTCCTTGGTCAGTGGCTCTACCTGTTCAGGCTTTAGGCCTGTGAAACAAAACATGCCGATCTGGTCCGTGATGTGCTGCCAGTTGTGGGAGGAGCCCTCCTTCTTGAGGTTAGAGACCATCAGGGTCCGCGTGCTAATGATGCGGTCGGCCATGCCCTTCACTTCCTGCAGCCACTGCTTTCGCAAATCTGGGGAAGTCAGGATGGTAGAGGCCATCCGAGCCCCGTTGAGAGGAGGGTTGGAATACAAGGGGCGAATCACAATCTTCAGCTGTGACTCCACCCTTTTGGCTTCATCAGGGTCTTTGCAGATTACGGTGAAGGCTCCCACGCGCTCGCCATATAAGCCCATGTTCTTGGCATATGATTGGCAGAGACAAACATTAATGCCCTGTTCGATGAATTGGCGCACAGCCCAGGCATCCTTGTTACCATCACCACTGGCAAAGCCTTGGTAGGCCACGTCAAAGAATGCAAAGAGATTCTTTTTCTTTACCACAGATGCTATTTCCTTCCACTGCTCAGGACGAGGGTCCACTCCTGTGGGATTGTGGGCACAGGCATGCAGAAGAAGAACACTCTGCTCTGGCATTTTCGAAATGTCTTCTATGGCGCCTGTGAAGTCAAAACCACAAGTCTCTGGGTCATAGTACCAATAACCCTGTAGCTTCATGTCAGCATCCCTGAAAATGGGTGTGTGATTTCCCCAGGACGGTTTGGGTAGAAAGATATCTCGGCTGAACTTAAAAAATCTTTCCATAAAATTGACTCCGACCCTTAAGGCGCCAGTTCCAGAAATGGTCTGCACGGTGACAAACTGGCCACTTTTCAACACCTCACTGTTCTCACCCAGGGCTAGTTCTGCAGATGCCTTACAAAATTCAGCCAGGCCACCAATGGGCAGGTATTCCTTGTCCAAATTTTTTGCAGCAATCTGGGCCTCTGCCTTGTGGACGCTAGGGAGCACATAAGGCTTTCCATTATCATCTCGGTAGGCACCAACTCCCAGGTTCATTTTTTTGCTGTTAGTGTCTCTCTTGTAGGCTTCAGTGACTCCCAGGATGGGATCTGGGGGTCCCATTTCTACATGGGCCCACCAAGAGCTGGCTCTGGCAAAGGCTGCGGCGGCAAGGCCCGGGTGGAAGGTGCCAGCGGCCCAGGAGAGGATACGGCCGGAGTGCAGCAGGGCCATGGTGGATGGCAAGAGGGCAGTAGGTAGCGCAAGACAGAGCGGAGGGCAAATGGCCGCAGACACAGAGGCGCGGGCTCCTGAACCTCAAATATTCTTATACTATAAACAGGTCACTGATAAGCAGATATCCTACACAAAAAAAAAAAAAACAATTTTTCAGTCTCCCACCATAATATTCTCCAAAAAAAAAAAGGGGGGGGGGAATCCTATCTTACCCCTACATACACCCTAAGGACATTCTTCCACATCATCATAATGCCATTATGACACTAAATGACCAAGAAGTCTTTGGTGTCATCTAAGCCCCATCTATAGTCATGTTACCATTATCTCAAAAATAAAATCTTTTGGTGTATTCTGCTCAGATAGGATCCAAATAAAGACCACATATGATATTTAGGCATTATGCTTTTTAATTCTCTTTTAATCTGAGTGACACCCCCCACACACACACACACACACACATACACATGCACACACCCTGCCTCTTCCCTTCTTGCCTTGGATTTGCTTCATGAGCCAAGTCAGTAGTTTTATAAATAAATGTTCCTGCTTCCCAATTCATCTGGGCTACCTTGAGGTGCCCTTTAACCAGATTCTCCATCTCCTCTTCCTCCTCAAAACTGGAAGTAGGCTCAACATTTTTGGCATAAAACTTTTCAGGCAGGAATGGGAACTTCCTATTATATCCCATTTGGATGCTTCTCTGTCAATAATAACATCATTGATCCCTGTAGGTAAATGCTTGCTTCCTGTGGCTCAGCAGTCAGTAAGGATCCACTCATCAGCTCTATGCCATGGCGGGGAGTGACTCAGTGTTTACTCATTCATTAATTCTTTCCAGTTAAAGACAAATCTGGAAAGAAAGGAAGCCAGCATTTATTGAGCATGTACTAATACACTGGCATTTTCCTTCTCTCAGTTGAGGTTGTGTTGGATCATAGCCAGCCCTGTGTTGGCTGCTTGTAGACAGTAGTAACACAGAAACAGGGTCAGTGCATATACATGCTCACCTAAGGCTGCCCTTAGATGTTTCTTCTATAAAGAAATAAACATGATCAACAAGATCCTTGATTCAGCAAATGGATACTGGCCACAATCCCTGTTCCTGTGAAACAAAAAGACCTCTTTATAGGGCCATCCAGTAGAGGTGGCCAGGTGAAGGTCACCCCGCACAGAGATAAAAGTTGAGGCTAGGCATTGGAAGAGATAGCCATGCTTTATGGAGAGTGAAGGGTCAATGGGGTCTAATGCCTCCATTATTCTAACTTAAGGAACATGTCTAAGTTCATTCAGTCTGCTAAAACAAAACAGCATAAACTGGGTAAATAAATAAATTTCTTTAAACTACAAAAATTTTTTTCTGACAGTTCTGGTAGCAGCAAAATCCAAGTTCAAGGTACCAACAGACCTGTTGTTTAGTGAGGGCTCTCTTCCTGGCTCACACACAGCAGACTTCTTACTATATCCTTATATGGCAGAAGGGGCATTGGAACTCTCTGGTGTTCCTTTTATGAGGGCACTAATCCTATTCGTGAGGGCTCCACCTTCATGCTTTAATCACCTCCCAATGCCCTATCTCCTAACACCATCTCATTGGGAATTCCATTTCAACATATGGAGGGAACACAAACCTTCACTCTGTAGCAGAAAGAAACTGCAGAATTGTACCCAGAATCCAAATATCCACCAATAGGAGAAAGACTACATCAGCTTGTCTGTTCATACTGGGAAACACAACAGCCAGTAAAAGAATGGCAGAGGGCCACATGCCAACATATGCTTCACTCAACAAGACAGGTGTCTGGTGAGAAGAATCAAGCTGCAAAACAATATGGACAGATTATGCTGTTTATGACACACACATGGAAATGCTTCATATATGCTACAGGTGGGTGTAAATGCACAGGAAAATTCTTTCAGGAGAGACCTTCCTTAGAAGGAGCTTAGGAAGGAGGAAGCAGTCGAGGGTTTCTTAGTATTATTGAAGTAATTTCATTCGTATAAGAAAAATATGGTCATGTTTTATCTGAGTATTTGAAATTAATGTAACAATACACAGTCATCCCTCCATATTTGTAGGTGCTGAATCAGCAGATTTAACCAAGTGTACATTGAAAATATGTGGGTAAATCAATAAAGAATAATAACATGTCAATAAAAATAATGCAAATAAAAAAACTATACAGTGTAACAACTATTTATACAACATTTACATTGTATTAGTTATCAGGCTGAAACTAGAGATAAGGTATATGGGAGATTATATGCATGGCTTTTATGCAAATAAAATCATTTTAAAAGAGGGATGTATCATGTTATAAGAGGGATCTGAGCATCTGAAGAATCTTGTATCCCTAGGGTGTCCTGGAACCACTCTCCCCCATGGTTACCAAAGGAAGACTGTGAATGGGAAAGCTGCTCAGAGATAATGTGGTGGCTGCCATTATCTCAATTTGGAGGCTGCCAAGGTTCAGGGATACTCCAGGCACAGAGGGAAGCTGAGATGGATGGATGACTGGGACTCACCCTGCAGCTACTGCAAGCACTGAAGAATATAGGAGTAGAAATGTATGAACCCCAGCACTGGATCAAGCCTGTAGCAGACCCTCATGTGCTGGGGCCATTGTCCTAGGCACACTCTCTCTGGTCTTCCTCCAGAAGAAGGTGGGGTCAAGATGGAATTCAGAAGCTGAACTCTAGCTAAGTGTGTGCTCAAAATTAAATCCCGAGTTATGGCTATTGTTTGGATATAGTTTGTAAGGATCCTCCAGAGTTTTATGTACTGAAAGCTTGGTCCCTAATATGAGATAATTAGGTCATGGGAACTCTGCAGTCAGAAGGGATTAAGGCTGGCCCCATAGAGTGGTTTAGTTCTCATAAGAATGGGTTGTATTGTAGAGAAAGTTTGACTGCTACTTTTTTCTTGCAGGCTACCTGTCTTGCTCTGTGGTGATAGCTCCCTTTTGTATGCACTCCCACCATGATGCCATTCTGCCAATTGTGGTATAACAAGAAGTCCCTTACCAGAACCAAATAGATGCCAGTGCCATGCTCTTGCAACTCCAAAACTATGAGTTAAATAAATATCTTTTTTTGTATAAAGTACCTGCATCCGTTAATTTGTTATAGCAACAGAAAGTAGATTATCTTGAACCCAAGACTGTCTCTGAGCTGGGCTGGTGGTGTGGGGCATTGGTTGCCACTGGCAGTCTATGATCCGCTTGGCCTAATCTATCATCACCTCCCAAGCTCCAGATCCCCTCAAGGTTGAAGTGCGGGATAGAGAAGTGCGACCTAATCTTATACCACCAGGTAGGTCAGAACAAACCTGGGTCTGGGGATGGAAGAGATATTTATGGAAGGGGGGTGGGCAGATCTGAGGAGAGACTTTCCTGCCTAACACAAAAGAGATATTCCTGTGAGGCCATTTCTTCCTACATCATGCTCTGGAAACACTAGACTTTGGCTGGGGTCTCTGGATTGCTGTCTTGGGGACAATAAACTAGATTAAAAGAGGGAATTAAAAGGGAAGAGAGCCTGGGTCCTCAGCTCTGTTACTGAGATTCTATTTCCACTCCCTACAATTGTTTGAGTCATGAATGGTGGGCATCCTGTTCCTCACAGCCAGAGGAGGCCATTGCCAAACTGCTCTGCAGAAAAGGCAGTGCCAGCTTAAATCCCACCAGCAATTCATGGGCATGTCTGAATCCTCATAATCTCCCCTGAGGAATGGCTCTGTCTAAAACACTTGACAAAAGGGTGAGCAGGAAATCATAAAAGGAATAAGGTCAAAAGCTGTCAAGGATCCCCTGGCATACCTCTTTTGTGGTGCATGCCCTTCCGGAGGCTTACCCTACATTACCCTAAGGTCACACAACACTCATGAATCTCTCTGCCCAAGGGCAGGCCCAAAGTGCTAGAAAATTGATGCCCCAGGAAGGAAGTGGGTGGGTTCCTTATTACATTCCTTATTACAAAAAACCTGGAACTATATAAGAAAAGAGATTCTGGAGGTTAGAGGTCCAAGGTCAGAGGTCCCCACCTGTTCAGCCTCTGGTGAGGACCTTCTGACTATGTAACAACTTGGCAGAACAACGAACAGTACACATGGGATCCCATGGAAGAGAAGAAACAAGGAGGACCATCCTTCCTCTTGTATAACAACCCACTCTTTTGGTAATTAATCCAGTCCTAAAAAGACCTAACTGACCTCTTGGAAATGGGCATTAATCTTTCATGACAGTGATGCTAGTTATCTCCCTTAAATGCTCCACCACTTCAATTGAGTTGCAATGGGGTATTAAGCCTCAACCTGAGTTTTAGCAGGGGCAATCCTCACCCAAACCATAGTAGTGGGTAAGTATCATAGCTTCCTTGCCTCTTGGTGACCCCGAATCATTTGCCTCCAATTCTCTGAGAAGGCCCCAGGGAATTAAAGTCATTGTCCCAGCAAAAGTAATCTTCTCATTTACACACTCTTACTGGCGTCTCTTCCGCCCTCACTTGACTTCAACCTTCCTTCAGAGTGCTTCTTGGGAACTTGTACCTAAATAGTCTAATTTTGGTGCCCAGTTAACCACTTTCACATACATCCATCTCTCAGAGTCTGTTTCTATGGAGCCCAACAAAGACTTGCCTACCAGACATTAGCAACTCCTCTGTAAAGGGGGAATAATCATGAGTACTGGTGCCCCAGTGTTAATTTGTCCTGCTTTAGGCTTCTATACTCCATTTTTTATTTGGGAGAATCACCGTGCTCCATGGTCTGACCTCATGGCACCTTTGATCCTAGGGCCTAGGCTTCCATAGATGGGAGAGGCAAGGGCCTCGTCTTGGGCTGTGAACCATGCAAGGTGTGAGGCGAAGACAGGCAGACTCAGGCTCAGGCTTGCCACTACTGATGGGTCCCATTTACCCAGTACTTGATAACCATTTAAGACCCCTATAGTGTGTCTCCTATTGAGATCCTTACTCCTTGAGACTGCCATCATGACATG